TTGTTCAGATTTTTATTCAGTGTTCTATAAAATTTGGTGATATTTTATTTTTTTTATTACTGTTATTGAATTTTTCTTTATTAATTGGTAGTTTGTACTGTAATGACATCTATGTAAAAGAAAAGTTAAAAGTATTAGAAACTGTTGCATTGTTTAAACATTATTTTATTTTGTATTAGGGAATGTGTAGATTTTTTGTATTTGATTTATAAATAGTTTTGAAGCTATAATTTAATGTTATGTAATAACAAAGATAAAATTGTGTTTGTCCCAAGTTTTTGTAAAGCGTTTATTGTACGTGAATGTGTTAGTTTTTTGTTACTGAAGGTTAAAGTATTAACTCATATTTGTATATTTGTACACCTTATTTGATGTAAATAGACTTAAAGCAATTTTTAAATGCAATAAAGCCCAATGAAAATAGTTATTCTTTTGTTACTGTTACTACTTAAAATATTGTTAATTTTTTTTTCTCTATGATTACTTCTTACTGTTGAATATGGCATTGCAATTGAGAAATTATACTAAAAAATCTTAAATCTAATAAATAAATGCATTACAAAATTAGGCATTGATGCAGGTTTATTTTTTCTTTAAATATTATAGTCATTTTATTTCAAATATAAAAATTTCCATTGAATTATGTGTTCAAAATTTCATTTTTTTTAAACTAGCTGAAATATAGAAAGCATATTTAATGCTAACAAAAATTTTTTTAATAAAGTTCATGTTTTGACATTAAATAGTACATTAAAATTTTTTAAAAAGCTATAAATAAAATTTAAAAAATCATGTTCTCATGTTTAAAAAAATTTTTTTTTAATCTTTAAGAGGTTGAACATTAGTCTGCAGGATTAGTTTGATTAGATAAAATAGACAATATATATTTTACTAATATCAATAATGTGAATTATTGTTACATTTCTTCTGTAATAAAATTTTTATTTTTGAATATTTGAAAGTCTTTCTTTGAAACCTCTTGATGAAACATTTTTTTTAGTGGCATTTTAATGGATCTTATCAAAAAATCATATAATTATATTTTTTAAAATTTTAATGTATAAGCAAAAAAAGAATTTGCACTTTCATTTTTTCTTTTCCCTCTCAGATTTCTTTTTTATTATATAATCACAATTTTATAAAGAATTACTATTATAATATTTTAAGCAATTGGAAAATAATTTTTTTTCATAATTTTCCAATTTTATAGCTTAGAAAAAATATGTATGAATCACATTAATGAGACCTTCAAGAGAATAATTAGGTCCTTTACTGAATAGTTTTTTTGTATCTTCATGTAGAAATGTGTCTTTCTGTGGAAAAAAAATGCGAATTGTGTGTGTATGTAATAATCACAGAATTACAAACTAATGGACAATAACCAGAGGAAATATTTTTAATAAATCAATACAATTGTTGGCTGATGAGATTGATATCATTGCTCGAACACCTACCACACTAAGACAAGTCTTCTTTAGAGAAAGAGGCCCTCAGAATGGGACTGAAAATCAATGAGAATAAGACCAAATACATGTCTTGCACTAAATCACATTTTAACAATTCCCACTTTAAAATTGAAGAGTATGATTTTGAAGTTGTTGACAGTTTCACTTATTTAGGTTCTGAAATGAACAATAGAAATGATTGTACTACTAAAATCCCAAAAGAGAATTACTATAAATAATTGATGTCTTAATGGAATACGAAAATATATGAAATCGAATTTAATCAAAAGAAAAACAAAGGTTCTATGGCATAAAGGTTTTTAAGATCAGTATTAACTTATGCACATGTAAAACTTGGTCCATGTCTCGAACTGATAAGTATCTATGAAAGGAAGATTTTAAGATTCATCTTTGGAGGAATTCAAGAAAATGGAATGTGTTGAATTTGATCAAATTTGGAGCTCTATCTATCATATAAAGAATCTGACATCGTTAACTTCATCAAAATACAACAATTAAATAGGCAGGCCATGTTGTCAGAATGGATGCACACCGCACCACTAAAAAAGTCTTCAATGCCCAATCAAATGGCACATGGAGAACAGGCGGTCCAAACCTAAGAGGGATTGATGGCCTAGAAAAAGATCTCCTAGTTTTGAGAAATAGAAATTGGAGAAAACTAGCAGGAAGAAGGCTGGCCTGGAAAAGGCTTCTTGAGAAGACCTTGAGCTGTCGAGCCACTGAGGAAGGAAGGAATGGACAATAAAATTTCAAAGCATCAAGAAGAAATTAATTGAAGAATGAAATTTAGGCAAAATATTTGTCTTGGTGATATTTATATGATTAAAGTTTCAAGGGGCTCCAGGTAAAAGTTGCAAGAGAAGAGCCATTTTAAATGCTAAATAATAGCTCATTAATAATCTGTTATCCCCAGCATTTTGAATGCAAACCTGAAAACAGGGATGCATTTTATCATACTGGTGCCATATATGGATCATTTAATTTCTTACCTGTAAAGCCTCTTTTTTTTATTATTTATTATACAGTCGGATCCCGATTTAACGAATTTTCCCTTTCGCTGGTGAAAATAAAAGCAAAAGCCTATATTTAACGAATAATAAACCCTGAATTAATGAATTACTATATAGCTGAAATATTTTCTTCTATAAGTTTGTGTTAGAAAAAATTGGATTTTTTTAAATTGTCCTTTTTGTATGGAACAGAAAAAGGATTTTTCTTGTAAGTAGCAACTTTCGATGGGAAAAGGTGCAGATCAGCGGTCGCCAAACTTTTTTTGACCTCACGGACTAGTAAATTCATAATTTAAATCCCACGGACCACTAACAGGATTTTATGAATGTTAAATATATTTATAAAAGAAAATTGTGATCTAAGAACGCAAACAATGCATTTTAAAACAACTTAACCTGGTAAGTGCTGGCCACGGTAGCCGAGTGGTATAGGTATCGGATCGTGTCTGGCCTTGTCACGAGTTCGAGCCCAGTACCACTAAAGACCCGCCGTGTAGGGGAGCGATGCACGTTAAATCTATCGAGAGCTCAAACGTCCTCCCGTTGGTGTGGTAATTAGGAGAGGAGGGTGCCAGTTCAGGTGTCGTCCACGTCACTTGACCATGCTTCAAAATTACGAGGTCGTCGCCAAAGTCCTCATGTAGCTGAACAGTGCGACGTTAATATTCACTCACTAACGTTATAAGTGAGTATATTCCACATTTTTCTGGGGACCAGCGAAATTTTCTCGCGGACCACCACTTTGGCGACTTCTGGTGTGGATGATTCATGAGTGCAACCTATCGCGTGAGTTTTGAATAGGACCGGAAACTCCCTTCTTATCCCATCCCCTCTACAATACAAGGGATATTTTAACGAGAATGAGATATATTTGTTTTTGATGGCGGACTGCCTATCTGTGCAAATGAAGTTCAGGAAATGGTTGATTTGTCGAAGACAATGAATAGCAATTCTGATGCAGAAATTGATAATGAAACTCTTATCAAAACTGTTACATTTTCTAATGCTTTACATTGTTTGAAACCTGTGAAAACATACCTCATGGAACAGGATGTAAATAACGCAGTATTTTTTGTTTACATTGACAAAAGAACTTTTTCGAGTGAGGAATCATAAAGATAGTGAAACATCTATGAGTCAGTATTTTAAAATTTCCGGTTAACTCGTTCGAAATAATTCGCTAATAGCCTTTTTTAGCTTTGTTGAATAAAAAACGCGTAATTTCTAACTATGGATATATTTAATGTAGTTGCTTATTGTAGAATTTCCAAACGGAAAGTATCGTATTTTGTTTGGACCCCGATATAACGAACAAAATGTTCACTCCCGATGAATTCGTTAAATCGGGGTCCGACTGTACTACTTTAAAGGTATACTAAAATGATTACTTTATATTAAAAATCTGTTTCAGCAACATGTACTTTAATGTTCGTTTAAATTTTAATATGCATGTATTATTACTTCTGATTTCCATGTGCTTACAGACCATAATAGGAATTTAAATCAAATAAAATATAAACAAAAATATATATATAAAAGAAATTTTAAGTCAATTCCTATTTAGGTCACCAAAAAAAATTATTTTAGTTACTTTCTATTAATAGTTACAATTAATATAAAAATATGTATATGCATATGACAGGATCGCACTAATAAGGCTGTCTTCGGTAAAAGTACGAGGGCTGCGGTAGCCCAGTGGTTAAGGTATCGGACAATGGCAGGCATGTCATGAGTTCGAGCTCAATACCACTGAAGACCCGCCGTGTAGGGCAGCGATGCACGTTAAATCTGTCGAGAGCTGAAACGTCCTCCCGTTGGTGTAGTGTGGTAGTTAGGAGAGGGGGTGCCAGCTCAGGTGACGTCCACGTCACTTGACCATGGTTCAAAATTACGTGGTCCGTCGCCAAAAGCCCTCGTGTAGCTGAACAGTGCGACGTTAATATTCACTCAAACTCGGTAAAAGTACGAGAGCTTCAACTAAACGCGAAGCACATTTTCAGACAGAAAAATGCCTCAATTGTGCCATGGAAATTTGCAATATCTTAGCTCATACCTCTGTTAACAATATAGTGTTTTTAAAAATTTCAAAATATTCCATGAATATTTTCTTTTTCGTTTTAATACGTGAAGGCGTAGCCCATTTAACATTACGATATAAGAGAAAAAACACGAAACATTTTATACTAGAAAAAATAAATCAACTCGGTTAGAAAGGGGAAGTATGATAAAAAAATACTGCTCTTTAAGGGATAGTGAAATCACAGAATATAATATATTAATTTTTCATTTCTTTATATCTGAAAAATTTCCAAATTCGGGTCCTATTCTCCTTTTAACATTAACTGAAAAATAGTTCTTAAGTATGTTAGAAAGCTACCTTTCCTAGCAATTTTCCGTTTTCCCTTCTATATAGGATGTTGGACTATTTTTTGTGTGTGTTTGTTACTGTTTATTCATTCATTAAATCTAATTATTCTCATAAAATTGTATAGTAAAAAAGAAATCACATTCTCAGGAATTAGGCCATCCCAGGAGGGATTCGAACCCACGAAATTTGGATCAGTAATCCAACGCGCTATCCATTGCGCTACAGGGACACAACGAACAGTTTTCTTTTCTATATATGCTTTTGGACTATTGTTTTTGTTTGTTATTATTTATTTATTTTTTAATTTAACAGTTGAATTAAAATATTTGCAATAAAACTGTATTAACATCAAGTGTCCTCCACTACAAGTATAAAAAATTGTATTTGAACTTGAATGAGTGAATATAGAAAGTATTTTATTAACGATTGAAAATTTGAACAAGATATATATAAATAAATATATATAGGAGAGAGAGAGTGAACTAATAGTAGGAATTGAAAAAGTATATTTTAAGGAATGCTGTAATATATTGTTTTTGTATGAATTATTTTCTTTCATAATGCATGAAAAAAGAACCGTTAAGGTTCGGTTTCATCATTTGCTGACGAACGTGTGCCATATTGAATCATTCCCTCTGCACAGCAATGGAAAATTTGAGCTTCCTATTTTTGTAAACAAAGAAGCTTTTTGAACACGAAGGTTTGGGCTGATCTTGAATACAAGGGAGAGTTGTTAATCTATATGTGGAACAGATAGCTTTTATCTTTTCGCGCTTATTGTTTTATGAAAACTGTGTTTGTGTGGAGTTTAGAGGCTGCCGATATCTGGCTGCATTGTTTAGGCGGTAGACGTCAATCAGATGTCAAATCCTGCAACGCTACTCTGTTGACACAGTTCTGACAAGGTTGAGAATTGAAAATATTTATTTTATTTTCTTATTCTCTCCTGGATAAGGGAAAAAGTTTTTAAACAAAATATTAAATTTAGAGAGGATGTAGGGGGTTATATCTATTTTTTATATTTTACTTAATGTATATATTGTAATGCAAATATTTTTCAGTTTTTTAATTTTATTTTACAGTGGATTCTCGATAGTTCGAAGTTGGAGGTGACCAGTGAAAAACTTCGAATTATCAAGAGGGTAGGAAAAAAACTCCCGAAATACACGAAGAGAAATTTTTTTCTAACACATTTAAATTTGAACCTATGTAATAAAACAATTGCACATATGTATAAAATTATTTTAAAGTATGTTTAACTCTTTATCTACCTCATTATGATTTACTGCAGTTTTTTTCATGCAATATGTCTTATTATTTTTTTTTTTTTTAGAATTACTACATTGAAAATTAAGGGAAATGCATAAACCAAATACTCAACTTTGGGAAATTTAATCCGTTAGAGCTAATTAACTAATTAAAGATATTCAACTGTAAAATATACACTGTTCACTTAAAATAAACAGTGAAATCGTTTTCTAAGGTCTTCATTAACATACAAAAAAAATAAGACTTAAATTTTGACATTAACTATTTTTGGGACAAAAATGATAATCTTCGCAATCCGCTGAAACGTTTCGTCAGCTGAAAAGTAATTTCTGCATTAAAACTATTCACCTTCCCTCTGCTAAAATACTCATCACAGAACCCGTGCTGCCACATTATTATCTTGAAGAGTGAATTTCAAAGAATATTCCTGCTGGGTAATAAATAAAATATTCGTAAAGCTGCCATATTATATGTAACTTTAAAGTGAGTGGTACTTATACCGTCGGTAGATAAAGGGTTAATGAGTATATGTTATACAGTATAAATATTATACTGAACGGCTGATAACAGGTGCGGTCGGTCTATTGCCCACTTGAAGAAGGAAAGCAATAGTAGTGTCTTTTCGCCTGAGGAACCGGAAAACAGTAAGAAGAGACAGCAGACAGATGGTCATCAAAGGGGCTACGTTACAGGGGAGACATGCGGAGAGAATACAACACACAAAACTTGTTAACTCCAAACTGTTTGCTACAGGACTGTACATGAAAGTGAGTGTTCGAATTGTTTTGAGAGTTTTACAAGATAACTTTGAATTATCGCGTGTTGTAGTCTGGCTAGCCATAGCGTATTGTTTTAGTTCGAAATATCAATAGTTTTTCTAGGGTCTGAGCATATACTTCAAATTACAGAGAGGTTCGTGTTATCAAAGGTTTGAATTAGCGAGAGTCAACTGTACTTGATTTCAAAGTTGTGTGCATTATATATATTTACTAGCCATTTTCTGAGTATTTCATAATGTTGTATGACTATGTATACTATTTTGAAGTTATTGATATTCAAGCCTTACCTTAAAGCTTGTATACGTATTGAAAAACATAAAAATAATTTGAATTTCTAAAACTGAAGACTATATTCCCCCTCACAACTTTTTGGGGGAGTCGATTTCTGCAATATCGTTCTTAGTGGATCTCTACTCAACAAAAGAAACATGCTTATCACACACAAATTTTGAAGTCTGTCTGATTAATACAGCAAAAAAGGGGTTTTTTAAAATCTAAAATGGCCCCTTAACCCCTCACAACCTATTTGGGAGTCGATTTCCGTAATACCCGTTCATAGTGGATCTGTACTCAACGAAAGAAACGTATTCACCAAATTTCATGTCTGTAGGTCTAATAGTTTAGGACGTGAATGAGTAAGTGAGTTGTTTTTCTGCTTTAAAAAATAGGTTTATTTTTTCCAAGAACTTCCGTAAAATAACTCTTGTATCAGAAATAGCTTCCGAGGCTGTTTGAAACGCAGAAAAACTTTTTCAGATCAAAAATTTTGTTTATCGAGTTCCAATTTTATCGAAACAGCTGAAGCATACATTTGTATATTGCATTCTACTCTAATGAAAGACAGAATGTAAAACTCGTTTTATTAAGAAAAAAAGTTGAAAAAGAAAAGAAAGATGGTAAAATACATGTGTTCTCAATTCGATAATAATTAACTGATAATTTATTAACGTCGTTCTTAGAGACAATATAGAGTTATTGACGACGGAAATCATAATTCTGCAATAGGGTCAAATGACGTGAATGACACCCAATGTAATAGGGAAGTCACAAAAAAAAATATTAATTTTCGAACATTTTGCCATCTGTGTGAAAGTATATTCAAAATTTACATTCCGATTCTTTTAACATTACACTAGTGGTGCCGTATAGGTTTTATATAAATTTAAATTTTTGAACATTAGACTAGAGTGGTGCCGTATAAGTTTTATATAAACAAGAGTAATGTTTAAACAAGTATAAAAACAATTAAGTTTTCGAAATTAATCTACAAAATATTTATTCGAAATTTCATTGAAATATTGATTGAACCTGAGCTAAGATTTTTATTGAATTCTGGCTATTGTGCATATTGTGGCGCGGTAGCCAATTGGTTATAATAAAAAATTTGTAATCAGCGTTGCCGAGTAACGGATTCGAGTTCTGATGCCAGCTCGGGTTTTGTCCAACCGTGGTTCAGAATTAGGAGGTTCGTCACAAATAGCCCTCATATTGTTTCAGTGTGTGAGTGAATGTTAACGTCGCACTATTTAGATACTCGAGGACTTTTGGCGAGGAACCTCGCAAGTTTGAGCCATGGTCAAGTGGAGGACGCATCTGAGCTGGAACTCCCCTCTCCTAACTTCCACACCAACCGGAGGACATTTGAGCCTCGACCAGGGGTTTCTTGAGGCCCTGGGCCTCTACACAAATGTAGGCCCTACCTGTGAGCCTTGCAAGTAGACAGTACATATTATACGTTGTTAAATACTCGTACAAACAATAACTCGAAACAAATAAATATGCATTATTTACAATCGCACAAATCGGCTCGACCGATTACCACCTTTTGACTGAATGAGCAGTGATGGTGTACGGTGGTAGTGGCCTGTACGGGGACGATAGTTATCCCACTTAGCCAGTTGACACATACCGTTCGAAATTCCCAGTTTTTCGGGGAATATAACCAAAAATAACATTTGACCGCTGAAATTATTCGAATCATGATCTTATTAAAGCTGAATGGAAAATGAGACGAGGCCCCATTGTGAAGAATTAAGACGTCTCTGGCCTCGACGTATTTAACGTGTATCAACTCCTCTGCACGGCGGGTCTTCAGTGGTACTAGGCTCGAACTCATGACACGCCGGCCACGAGTCCGTTACCTTGACCACTAGGCTACTGCGGCCACTCATATTGCTTCAGAAGGCGAAGCTAATAATTAGTCACTCACTGTGGTCAAAGTAACCGAGTGATTATGGTCACGAATTCGTATCCGGCAATTTGTGAGTTCGAGTCCTGGTTCCATTGAAAAAAGTCCTTCCATGTAGGGCTGATGCTCGTTAAAACAGTTGTGACTGAAAGTCCTCACGTTGGACTTGGTGTGGAAGTTTGGAGAGTGGAGAGTCAGCTGAGGTGTTGTTCATGTCACACACACTTGATTGCGATTCATAATTGCGAAGTCCGTCGCAAATAGCCCTCGTGCTGCTTTAGTGTGTGACGTTAGTAAAAAATCAGATCTGGTTACATTTTTCATCTATGATTTACAAGAAAGTTGTTTTTAAAGGAAGAGATTGTGAAGGTAATCAATTTTATGTTAAACTCGCATTAAACTATATTCATTTTTTTCTGAATTAGTTTTTCTTTAAATTGTTATCAAAAACCTTAGGATTATTAATTTAAAATTTGGAGTCTTTCCGGCTTAAAGAAATTAAATTTAACTGATGTTATAGTTCATTTTTTTAAATTCGTTTGAAAAACAATTTTATTAATATTACCAACAAATATGAGTTGCAGAAAAAATGTTTTTGAATGCATAAACAGTGAAATTGAAGTCAAGAGAAAGTATTTCATATCCTTGTATAGTTAAATTATAATACTGATAAATATATCAGATATATGAACAATTCAAAAAGGTATCAAAAATAGCTCTTAGATTTATTTTTATTTGCCTTTTCTACTATACCGAATTATATACACTTTGAAGTATCAAAATGTTCGAATGTGCCACGTCATAAAGGTTATTCAGGTGTCGTGTGTGGACAGAGGTATTTTATCACTTGAGCGATTATTTTATAAGTTAAGTGTTCTTTTTATTAGTTTCATTTCGTTCCGATGTCAGGAAAGAATATTTTTTACGCCTGCCTACAGGCTTCTCTTTCATTTCCTTCATAGGAGCAAACTGTTTCTATCAGATAGCTTTTAA